TTTTGAACTTGAAAAGGAAAAATAAAAGTACCTGTGGGTGGAGCATTATTGTGTCACATGCTTTACAGTCATCACTGCTCATTATCAAGACAAAGTAGACAACCAAGGTACAAAATTTTCTTTCATCCACCTTTCCTCCTCCCATCCATCCATCCCTTTCAACCAGTTATCTTTCCATCTATTCTCCCATCCACCCTCCCATTCTTCCTCCCCTCGAGTACTGAGGACTTATTACCAAAGCCCTGTTCTAGGAATGGGAGATTCAAAAATGAACAGGACACATTCTGTCAAGAAGCTCAGAGCCAGAGATGAAGACTGAGGGGCGGGTAAGTGAACAACTTAGCTAAGGCTGCAGAATCCGATGGTAGAACTGGGATTTGAACCCAGGTCTGACCCAGTATTCTTTCCTCTCCAGGTGAGTTCCCAGAGAAAGAAACTACGGGACTATATATTATCAGAAGTAAAACAAAGGAGATGAGAATTTTCACACTCAATTTTCTAAGATACCTTTCCATCTGGATAATATCTTACATTAGCTTTGTATAATTTAAGAAAATACTCCTGTAAACACAAACAGTTCTGCTGTCACTGTCCACTGCAGAGCTCTTATACTGAGGCTCAAATTGTTTACTGTGTGCTTAGTATATACTCACAGAAAATCGATTTTATTAAACTTTTAGGATTAATAAAGAGCAAGTAACACATAGCCAAAACACATTTAGGAAATTTAAGTAAATGCCCATTAATTTCGGAACGTATTTAGCAAGCACATACTGCATATTTAACTGCATCCATGCTAGATACTGTGGGAGAGACAAACATACGTAGGCACGGCCCCTGCCTTGAAGGCCTGTGTGGGAAGGAGACAGAGAACTAAATCCTCCTGTGTCTGTGATGCAAGAGGAAAAGCACAAGGAGCAGCTTAGTTGCAAAAGGCAGGACTTCTGGCCAGGGTTTCTGAGGACAAGCTTCAAGCAGAGCAGAGAGCTGACGGGGCTCTGAAGAATGGACAGATTTCAACATGCAGAAATGAGGACAGCAGGACAGCAGTCATTCCAGACATGGAACAACGTGAGCCTAGGGGCCTTGAGGTGCACCTGTCAACTCCCCAAGGGCAGGGGCATGTGGTGCCCCTGTTCACAGTTGCACCCCCAGGCTCTGGCACTGTTCGTGACGAGTAACAGGCACACAGTGCATTCTGGCTGAATGTTCATACAAAGGAAACTAAATTCAGGGCATGACTAGGTGACTGGCCAGTGGTGTGGTTTGGCAAGACTACGGGGTGAGATTACAGGGAGAGCTCAGCTGGCACTGGGTGCCAGGATGCAGACAGGAAGGACCTCATACCTCAGGATAGTGCTGTGGGAGGCAGACAGGGAGACCAGGGCTGAGCCGGAGGCTTGAAGCTCATGTCAAACAATAGAAAAGAGGAAGGACAGTCACAGAGGAGGGAGAGCTGGGGCCGAGGGCAGCACTGCCCGGACTCCCACCAGCTGCTTCCGGAGCTGTGCTGGGACGCAGATGGGAAAAAGGCCAGGAATGGCATTTTCCCCACTAAGCCTTTACATTTACTGCTTTGATCAAAGAGTCTAGATCGTTTACTACAAGTAAACATAAAGCAGTTCCAGAATTTCTTTCAGTACAGAAAAACAGGTATAATTTTGAATTACTATTTTGACATCTTTTATAAGAAAAGGCTCCTGAAAACTCCTGCCATGTCCCCACTCTTCCCATAACTGAGTCAAACTATAAACTGACCCACACATGCATTCAAGTTGGTGTGATGGCAATCCCAGGGCCCACCCACCTCAAACTGAGGAAAAATACATGATACTGGATGAGTCCGTCAGTTACATAAGCTCAGTGAAGATGTGCTCATCACACCCGGGTATCTGCAGATGCCCCAGCTAGCTGTCCTAGGTATAAAAATTAAACAGACCCATCACAACATTGGGAGAAATGCCCAGAACAGCTTTCAATATGGTGACAAGCAATGAAGGGAGATTCCACTTAGCATCAGGTAGAGTGGCGATGATCTGAGTCTCAGGCTCTGCTTTTGGGCTGCCAGGTATCAAAGGGGCACTAGGACAGTTATCCAACCTTGGAAGCTGGGTCCCTCATGTGTAAGATAGGTGCTGCAATTTTCTCTGTGGATGTACTGTGGCAGGTATTATTCCAAATCCTTTCTGAGGTCTTGAAATGGTTAGTCACCCTCACGTGAGGAAGAGGGATGCCAGGACCTGGGGACCTCCACACCTGCCCTCACAAAGCTCCTGCTATTGCACATAAGCCCTCTCATAAAGTCGTTTTACTAGGCCATGCTTCCTACCACTGTATTATTTTTCCCTCTGTATTATTTTTCCCTCTGAAAGCTTGAATGATATCTCTTGGCATATTTTTGAGGGAGCATTTCTCTTCTGCTATGTTCTGTGGCTGTGCAGGCTCTTGTTAAAGTAGAGTTCCATGAAGGAGAAAAATAGAATTTAAATAAAATTCTAGGCTGTTTTTGGGCTTTCCCAGGTGGGTATGTTTCTACAGTTTCTGATTTTAATTCTCTGGGAAAAACTACTAAAAAAAGGGTTTGAGAGTTTAGGAAGAAAGGCAAAGATTATAAAGCCTTAATTGGCCTATAAACAGAAGAGATGGAATGTGAGGGTTTTGGCCCTGGTTTTCGTTCTCTGTAACTCATTCCTACACTTCTCTAACTCCTGGCGGTGAAAATGGGGAACACGGGCAACGATATTGTTAGAGCGACTGCACGTTGTCATGTTCTTCTGCTCACACTACTAGGTGGTGTGCTATTGGCTACAGGAAAACAGGTCACAAGTAACCAGCTAATGCCAAAAACTATGGGGAGAAACTGTCTTTAATGCAGAGATAGCAGTATTAAGAGACAGAGGATTTCTAATTTGTCTGTCTTGCTCCGCTGTTCGTGGCAACTGAGCAAATGAGGAAGATTAAATTAGCTGTCATTATGGCTACATCATGTTTAATAAAGTTAAAATTGAGAGAACATCTTTGTAAAATACAATCCTAAGCCTAATCCATTAATGGCGCTTAATGAACCAAAACTGGGTAAATCCCTTTGGAGAGCCAACACATAAACAAAGCTATTAATTAGGTCACAGTTGTTTCCCAACAAGCCTTTTGTTTGATTTACTTACAGTAAACAAAACCATATCCATATGTCTTTGTGCGGAAGTATTCACCAGTGCAACAAAATGTAATTATTACACCTTAAGCACTTGCAATTACACGACTGCATGATGGCAACACTGTTGATTATGCCCTTCATTAGCATCCGTCACTTCCCCAGCCACTCCTCGAGGCTGGCCGCCTGCCCTCTGCGGCATTAGGCTATGCAGCCAATTGACTTGTCTTTATGTCCTTAAGCCTTCTGAGTAACAGAACAATCACTTGCTTTCTGGAAAGGAGATTGGCATTTCTAAAGCAAGTAAGAAAAAAAGTGCTTCAAAAATCAAAGGTTTGAGAAAGAACATCACTTATGGTGTTTTGCTGATTTGGAAAGCCAGCTGGTAATCAGAAGCTCTGGAATTAAAAATACAAGGTTTATACCCAGAGTGGATGGAGCACACAGAGAACAATTCCTCAATAACTCTGAAGCTAGGGAATGCAGCTCTTGGATGCCCTGAGGTCTGGTCCTGCCATTCCCATCAGAGGAGTCAGCAACAGAAACCAGCTCTGACCAAGATATAAAACAGTGGCCAAGTTTGTATCTGCTGGGCCCTGTGACGTCACTGATCACCAAAACTGAAGGTCTCCCAGACTGGAGTTGGGAGTGGGAACCACAGCTCACCAGGGAAAAGCAAGGTCCACCGTAGAAAATAAGTTCAGCCATTGCCAAGGTAACCCGCCCTACAGAACCCTTGGGTTTCCCGTTTCCAAACCGACTCGCCCCTCAGTCTTCCCTGTTCACCACGATGCTCAGGCTCCACACCTAGATACCAGCAACGGCTTCTCCTCCTTCCCTCCTATCCCACACTCCAGCCATCACAGTCCACTCGGCTCCAGTTCAACCTCCAGCTCAACCTCCAGTTCAACCATCTCACCATTCTCACCATTAGCACCTTAGTCTAAGCCAAAATCCAGTCGAGAGAGAGGACACAATTGTGAGAGCCTGCAAATAATGCATTTGGACAAGTGCCTGATGATCAAAATGGTATAAACTCTAAAGACGGAGGGAGAGCAGAGTGGGACAAAGCTAAGGAAGGAGGGAAGGGTAGGCTGTAAACGGCCTTGGGACACCACGCTAAGATTTGGACAAGGACACTGACCAAGAGAGAGAGAATAATTGAAGTGCTCTAAATTGATCAGGAGACACTAGTAAGTAAAGCATTAAACAAATGACCAGATTTTGATAATGCAACAAACGGATTATGAGGATACAGACATTCGTGTTTGTGGGTCAAACGTTGATGGCTAAAATTTAGGAGTGGCCAGTTGACAAGTCTGATAAATTCTGTTCTTTCTTGCTCTTTCTGTAACCGATCATACATTCCAAGGTGACAGTGTTTCTAAGTATTAGATAATAAAAGGAAACTGCTACCGTCAATGTTGTAACACCAAAAACCAAAGATAGATCTATATGGTACATTTAGGAGCAAAGATTTTATTTGAATGGGCCCCTAGCTGAGCTGGAGATGATGCCGTCTTCTGGCTGCTGCACCCAAAGTCCACCAAGTGCTTCAAATAGGGCCTCCTCACAGAATGATTCATTTTCTGCAGAAGGACGTTTCTGGGGACAATCTGTGAAATGCTAGGCTGAGAGATGAGCACTACAAAGTGGCTGATAAAGAAGGAGGTTTGCAAATGCAAGGTTATTTTTCTGATTACCATTCAAGAACACGAAATGAACTAAGGATGTTCAATGATAGATGCCATCTCTGGAACCTAAGGGTCACTGTCTTGCAATCTTGGAATGTCACATGATCACACAAAAGTCTGTTGGCGTGGCCTGCTTCCTACTGCTTCCATCTTCTATTAGCACATTGAGCACTAGCCTCATTGTGATCCCCAGCAGCTGGGCAGTGGCCTTTCCTGGGAGGTCTGAGCACGGATTCTTAGGGCCTGTACTCTCAGTTCTCGGGTCTGGAGACCTGTCCTTGGACACAGTAGCTGCTTCCTAAAATTAGGACCCCAGTGTTTCAGTCTTTAGGTCCTTCAATTCCTATGAAACAAATTCCCCATATTAAATCCTTTCTGTTGAAAGACTGTTTTTCTGACTAGACCCTCTCTTCTCAGGTTCCCCTCTGCCAGCACATCTTGTGAACATTCCAACAGCTGAGAAATTCTGCAACCTTACCCGACATCTCCTGGTGGTCTAAGTGAAAGGCTAACTTTGAGGCCATATTTGGAGTATTTTCATGGCTGGCCATCTTAAAGAAAAATGACAATTCAAATTATATTTTCATATGAAAATATGAAATTACTGAATATATTATTTAATAGTGCAGTCTGTATGTGTTGTAAGTACTCGAGTTATTGTCAGGAATGAGAAGAAAAACTAATGGAGAATTAGCTTATTGCAGGTTTCCACCAAGTTTTACAAGGGTAAATTGAAAAACTGAATATAAATGGAACACCCGGAATTCGACAGGTGAGGGTCTTACCATTATTTTGTCGCTGTCAATAATGGTGTTTAACCTGTGCGCAATGGTTAGCACAGTGCACTGGGCAAATTTCTCGCGGATTTTTTTTTGTATTAACGCATCAGTTCTGGAATCAAAGAAGTTTAGTTCAGTTCAGTAGAGAAAGAAAAAGCAGACTTAAGGCTTAAAATGATCATATGATATTGTTATAATGTTTTTAAAAGCCAATACTTTATGATCTTGTTCTTGTAATACTGAGTATAAAGAAAAATCTACTTAGAAATTGACTATTTTTCATAAAACAATGGAAAATATTCTTCCTCCAAAATGCTTGAAACTATTAGCAGTTAAATTTAGGAACCTGTCTCTCTTAGGATAGCTGATAATATCATTAACACATATTTTGGTTTCTTCCTCGTTTCCCATAATGCTATCAAAGAGAGATCTCTGGGGCGAAGCGAGCACTTAGAAACATTTCTCAGCGTCATTCGATGTTTCCTGTTTACCACATCTAAAATTCAGATTCCAGGTTTCATGGACCTCGTCTCCGTACCTCGGATCCACATTTGCTGTCGCTTCATCAATTATCAATATCCGATTTTTCCTGAGAATAGCCCTGGCAAGGCACACCAACTGTCTCTGTCCAACACTGAAGTTCGATCCTGATTCTGCTAATTCGGTATCCATCTTACCAGGAAGATCTTCAATGACTTCTCTAAGTTGTACCTGTGGATGTAGGAGAATGATATTTTCCTTAACAAACTGCTAGGAAGTAGACAGGCATCCCAGACATTAAAGCTTTCAAGTCCTCAGTGCGTCTTCCACATGATGGACAGTTACTTCCAATTAGCATTTACTGAGAAACATGGCTGGGTCCACTCAGGCTGAATTCTTCTGATTTAAGAGCACAAACTTAACAGAAGTCAATTTTTCTTTGTTGGCATCAGTAGGCATAGCCTGTTCCTATGGTGCCAATTTCATTAAGAAATATGAAGTATGCTAAATAAAATTATTTCCTAGGTAAAATATAGAAAAATTTTAAATGTTCCTACTTAATTTTAAGTTACAAGATTACCACAAGAATTTACAGAGACAGAAAGCAGAACAGTGGGGGTTAACTGTAAACAGACATGAAGGAATTTCTTGGGGTGATAGAAATGTTCTAAAACAGGAATGTCATGATGGTTGTTCATAAATTTACCAAATAGGGGGATTTTCTGGCATGTGAATTACACCTCAAGAAAGGTGGTGTCAAGAAATCAGCTCAGGGTCCTCCATCCGTGCTACATGATGTCAACCAGGAATACCTCCTAGGGATCAGTTAAGGAAGTATCTCTAAAAATGTAAGTATTTCTCTCAATATGGTCTCAACAGAAAAGTTAAAAGGATCTGTATGATTGATACAAGTTTACCAAAGTACAATCTGCAGAGAAGTCAGTACATTAAAAAAAAAAAAGAATTGCAGGAAGTATGGTTCTCTAAAGATATAATTTTTTTAAAAATTGAGGTATACTTAACGTATAACATTACACTACTTTCAGGGTGTACCACATAATGATTATTATTTGTGTTTTCTGCAAAATGACCATAAGTTTAGTGTCCCCTGTCACCCTGTAAAATCACGTAACATGCAACACAATATTGTTGACTACAGTCACATCCCCATGACTTACGTATTTTATGACTGGTCGTTTGTACCTTTTATCTAAAGATAAAATCTTATTGGCAATTTACCATTTTGGAAGGGTTTAAAGTTTAAAAAAAAGTACTAATTCAAACAATGGCAAACTACACCTCGGGTTTAAGTGAACACAGGACAACCTATTTGGAGGATGGTTCTTTCTCGAGTTTAATCATGTGGCTACATTGGTCAAGTGCATTTACTTCAATCTCAAATGTTCTGCAATGAAAACTCATAAAAAACAGGGTACAGTATACACTTATTTCCCCCAGATTATGGCATAGATGTTGTTTATTATTAATCTATCTTCATAAAATTGTCACCAAAGGTTTAAAAAAACCTTTTAACTGCCAAAGATAATCTGAAACAACACTGGGAGGTGGACCTCTGATAAATGAATATTTGGAAGAACTTTATATAGCAAGAACCAAACTTAGGCTATACTTCAGAGCGAAAGCGCGAAGAGTACATACACTTCAAACGAAGAGATCAACAGATTGATGAGTGACGGCCAATAAGCAGGGACACAGCATTAGATGTCAAACAACAAAACACCAAGGATAAGTAGGCAGTGTTTGCATGGTAGCCTAAATGTGGAAGGACTTCTATTAGTGTGATCTTGAATTGCACTCATGATGGAAGTTCAATCCCAAGAAACAGAAGTCTGAGTTAATTAAATATGGCATTCGTATTTAGCATTAGCACGAAAGGTATATAAAATCCGAGTGTAAGATTTGAGTTGTGGTGCAAGTCCTTGTACTGAAGATTATGAAATGGAAGATATCAGCTTAGTCGAGCCCCGTCTATTACAAAGAAGAGAACTTCTGAACATTCTTATTATGAAATGCACCTATACGCCAGGTGGTGGAATGGATCGAACACGGTGGCAAGGATCATCATCGGCTCTTCCTTCTGAGCTGACTTCCATAATTCTGTGGACCCTTGAGCAACGCAAGAGTTGTGCATTGACCTCCACCCCCAGCACCCCCATGCAGTTGGAAATCTGTATATAACCTTTGAGTCCCCCAAAACTTTATTACTAATAGCTTACTGTTGATGGGAAGCCTTACTAAGTAACAAACTCGATAAACAGATATTTTGTATATGTATTATATGCTGCATTCTCACAATTAAGCTAGAAGAAAAAAAGGTTTTTTCAAATTGTCATAATTCTCCAAAACATTTCCAAATATACTTATTGATAAAACTATACATAGAAGTGAACCTGTGCAGTTCAAACCTGTTGTTCAAGAGTAACTGTATTTATATATGCACATTAGTCTTTCTTAAGACTGATGGTCTTACTTCGAAGAAATCATCTCACACTTGCCTCTGACATCTCCTCCCTACCTGGTTTTGACCCTCCTTCAGGTTGCCCCTATCTGCTTGACAAGGAATAAGGGTTGTCAGGAGAAGAACAGTGAAAATGTCGTCCAGAAAACACTGTTTTCTGAGACTCTGTGTTCATTTCTATCAATCAGGGTTGATTATGAGAATGGCGCGGATGTGCAGGCCCTCTGGGGGTTGCCATACATTCAAGTCATCAGTAAGTATGAGAAGTGAGAAAAAGGCAGTAGGGTAACAGAACACAGTGACTTGGAGTCAGAGCTGGGGAATTTGGAAGTAGATAATAGCTATACTACTACTACTCAATTCCTTGCATTAGGTAAACGGTATTATGTAGGAGAATGTTCTTGTTTTATAATGTCAGGGTGAATAGCACCTTATAATGAGAATTTCAGCAACTTGCTTTCACACGGTTCTGCACAAGCTGGCATGTAAAGAGAGGAAGCAAATGCGCACACTGTTAACAACTAGCGAACCTTTGCAGAGGGTATATGTCTGTCCGTATACTACTATTCCTTCCATTTCCCTGTGATTTGAAATTTTTTAAATAAAAAATTGGGGCCCTCAAGCCAAATAGCTGGGGCCTGCATCCTGCCGAGCTCTGCCAGTTGGGCAAGTTCCTGAATGTTTTCTATCTTAGCTTCCTAACCTGAAAATAAAACTAAAATATTAGAATAATGGAGGTAACACCTCCATTATTGGAGTTTAAAATGAGTCACTGTGTGTAGAGTTGACAACAGTGCCCGAGACAAAGAAAGATCAATAGATATTGCCTATGATTAATAATGCTGTCAGTTTCCACCTCTTCATGTTCTGCTCTATTTTTCTCCTTTGCATCAGTGTCAGTACTGAGACTTTATTATGTATTGGCTTGTTTTCCACCTTCTCCATGAGAATTTAAGCTCCAAGAGGGTAGGGACTTGTTCTCCTTTGACACCTTTGATAGTCCCAGAGTCTAAATAAGACCTATCTAAAAGCACTCAATAGATATGTGTTGGAAGCATGAAAGAAGCCATAGGGGCATCTCATTTTTGTGACATACTGGTTCCTATAAAAATTAGAAAATAAATCCATATAAATAATTTATATGAAATACCATGTTTTTATTAAATGTCACTTTAAAAGAAATACATTCTTCCTAATGATTATCTGGCTCCAAGATATCATAACACCACACCTTAAAATGTGGAAAGCACTTTAAAAAGTTATAATTGAAGGAAAATAGATCAAAGAATACTATTCAAAGCTATACATCTCAGTATAGAGTGCCTTGGATCATTTTTAAGCTTGGGAAAGTAATAACCTACAGTGAAAATTGAAAATAACAAACTGAACTTATAAGATACCCCATAAACATTTCAAAGTAACCCAACTTTGTGTGCAGCATCTACTAGGTGCCAGCGCCCCTCACAGGAGGTCAACATGGATGTCAGATGGTTTTCACATTTTTGGAACTTTCTTACTTTTCAAAAAGAAAGGATGGTGTGGACTAGTAACTGAACAGACACGGAAATGCCATCAATAGAACAAAGCCAATAGTAAATGGAGTATAAGGAGAACCCATTTACCAAAATACATGGCCTAGGGGATATGGAAATGCAAAGACTGAATTATGTGTTTCCTGACATATATGCTACTGATGCTCAGATTTCTGTCTTAGTTTCCTGAATAATGAGACATAGTTGTTTTCCAATAGAGATACTATCAATGTTAACATAATAACTGGATTTCTTCACAGTTCTGACATGATATAAAGTGCTCTTAATTGTGCATCCCAGTATTACAGGTGTTTTGTTTTTGTTTTTTTAGCAGAAACAACATACTGCTGATTCATTTTCAGTTGTATTTCCTGTGCTCTTTTGACCTTTTAATGATAAATGGCTTCATCTGTAGGCATTACTTATGTTCTAAGTTGCTGTTGCTTTGTAGGTGCCCCAATTGGAGCTAATTTCTAGCCAGCTATCTTCAGTTTACAGCTGACTATTTTTTAGTGCATGAAAAAATAAGCGAGATGAGAGGGACAACGTGCATAGGACTGTATCCCTCCTCAATGCCTAAATCACCCAAGGGAGGAGGAGGCAAAACCTAAAAGGACTTTCTAAAACAAAAAAAAAAGCAGTAGCAGCTTTTCCTTTAAATTTAAGTTCTTCAAGAGGACAAAACAGCAGTGCCCTCTTACTGACTCCCAAGCCAACCCTATGAGTTTAGGGTCCCGTTTCCAGTTTGGCATCATTTATAAACCAGCTGATGAAGGTTTTTTAAAATACCTTAAAGGCAGCTCCCAAGGACACCAGGTCTCCTACCACCTACTGAAGAGCAAGACAGGTTATGATGCTCAGGTTTAGTATAATAGGAGATGGCAGACAGACCGAATATGATAGAAAATTTCAGAACATGAACGGCATTAGAGTGGTATGCACAATTCTTTGTGTGATGTCTCTTCAGATAAATGCACATACTATTATTACATTATGAGTACAACTCCAGAGATATAAGCTCTTATTCCATAGTCTGAAGGCCTGGAGATTCCAAGGACTGCAGGCAAAGAGTTCCTGACCTTAGAATGACCCTCAACTTCCCAAAATGTGTGGTCAGGAAACCCTTATTACTACTGTGTGAAGTCTGAAGTGCTTCATCTGCTAGGAATACAATCCAGATGATTAAAGCAATATAAGCACACTAGAGAAAATCTGGAGAATTCAGAAAAGCCAGAAAAAATAAAAATAAATCACTCATAATTACCCCTAAATAAGCAAAGTTAATATTTGGTGCCTTGTACAGGTTTAAAGTGTGTTCTGATTAAAACAGTTGGAATCATACTGCAAATATAATAATATATCCCAATTTTTTAGAAAAGTTACCAAATATTTAATCACACAACATACACTACTCTGAAGAAACAATTCCTTGAGGAACATGACGACTTTCTCTAAGAGACACCACTAAAGTAATGAGGTCATTCCAGAAGCAATACATGGAAACCACTCACTTTAGAAAATAAACTCATGTTTATTTCTATTTACAGAAAGTTCCAAACACTGTTGAAAATAAAAGCTGGCCTCAGTATTATTTTGACCACTTCTACCATGTCACCATTTTTGTAATTCAGAGAGGCTTCTAAATTTTAATTTTGGCAGAAGAAGTAAGTTATGGTCAAGTTCTAAGACAGTTTTATAGGACTTGTCTCCCAATTTCTTTACTATCCACAGCCCAATGTGCTTCTCAAGTAATTTTACTTTCTGAGAATCTGTGAAGAGAGATCTCATGCTCTGAAACAAACAGAAAAATAGTTTACTAATAATTCATGTTTTAAGGTGTGTTACAATTTCGCCCTTGAATTTGTTGTGTAGGTTCAAAAGCAATGGGTCATTCTATCTTTCACTGTATTTGATGGTTAGCCATTCTCCCCACTTCTCTCCTAGAACATCACTAGTAGAAAGACTCACAGACTTAAATGAGGTCAGAGGTCAATTGCTTTCAAATAGGGAGGAGATGGTGAAGTAATTGGCCCAATTTAGGAAAATAAAATTCTTATAGTTTCTGGTAAGCAGGGTGGGTGTGTAAAGACTCAGCATGGACATGCCTTCAGAAACCAGAATTACTGGCAGGAAATTGTCGGGCTTCCAACTCTGCTTGCTCACAGTTAAACCTCATCTAGAAATGAAAGATTTCAAAACTAGCCCTGCAAGGGGGACAATAACTGAAAAACACACCATTTCAAAAGCAACAGTCATGGTCACTGGGATTTGTGGGCGGGGGGGGGAATTCTTTTTAAAGAAATAAGCCACACTTCACTGAAATGAAGGGATCATTCAGCATTCAGTACCTATTTATTAAGTGCTTACTTTTTAAAAGCAAAGGCCTGAGCTAGGTCCTGTGAGGATTAGAGGTCTGCCTATGGTTTAGAGGTCTGGACATGGTTTCTGCCATCCAGTAGCTTAGAATCAATTGGCAGAACTAGGGAGACCACACAGAATAACTGGTGTTAAAACACACAAACCAAGAGCATCTGAACAGTCAAAATCCCTTTCATACCAAGGCAAGGAGATTCAAAGAACTGGTCTGAGGGCAAACACTACACAAATAATAGAAAATCCTCTAGAAATGAGTGAAGCAGAATAAAAACAGCAAAAGACATGTATGCCAATAAATATTACACATTATAACTGTGTAATTTACCTTTACAAACACACTCTTATAAAGCTACAGAGCATTTTACTGGTATGACTTCATCTATCTTTCAGTTAATAGTGGAAAACTATTAATATCTCTATTTATGGGTGTTCTCTAAGAACAGAAAAGTAAAATGAATGTTCTAAGGTAACTGGTCACTAGGTAACTAATAGAATTTGAACCCCAAAATATAAATTCTAGTCGAGTGCTCTGCTAAAGACAAGATAACATTATCCAGTTGCATTGGATTCTAAGTAAGAAAATCAAAATGAAAACGTGAGGCATTTTATTTTTGGTTTTCATCATCTTTATCAATATACCCATTTTAAGTCCATCCATGTTACCAAGGTTCTCCAGGGTGGTGAGCAAAGTCAATTAAATCATTAAGTTTCCATTAATAACCTGCAATGCTCTAAGTATACATACCCATATACTGGTGCTAACAGTTAAAATTAATTCCATTTCATAAATTACCTCTTCTAAGGCATTCCACAGTTCCTCATCTGTATGCTCATTAAAGGGATCCAGATTTTTCCTCATTGTTCCAGTGAATAAAACAGGTTCCTAAACAACCCAAAATAGTGAATGTTATTACCACAGCTTCTTTTCATTTTATTCCAATGCTGACTTTCAGAACAGAATTAAAATACAAAAAAAAAAAACCAAAATTCACTATAATCATTAACAATAAGGTTGCAAATGACTATTTACAAAACAGTGTCCCTCTTAGTTTTCCATACAAAGAATAAAAGTATTCTCTCCAAGCTTCTGGACCATTCACACTAACAAAAGAAACTGCTGAAGTGTGTCATCTTAAGGAGAAACTGAAGAAGAGAAAGGCAGGTTTGATTTTTAAAACTGCCTTCCTAGTCATATCTGCTTAAACAGGAAAAACAAAGATATAATTATCTGAGGAACTTTACATCAAGAAAGCTCATTGTCAGTCCTAGTGTGACACTGGTTAGTATCAATAGCAACCTTAGCTCAAGTTTGTGCCTCAAAGCAAAATTGCTAAGTATTTTCACATTGGCACTGAAGAGTCCATTAAGATATTTTCTCCATTGGTGAAACCATCTTCCAGGATTGTGAATCTCTCCACATGTGCAAATGGGACATCTTTGTTTTTTGTAGTGAATATAAACTGAGGGGGCCAGTGGCACCTCTATTCATGAAGAGATTACCTCTGATTTTGCATCAGCTAATCCTCACATTATCTTGTCTGGGCATCAGGATTACATGCCTCACAGAGCCTTGTTATCAACTACAAGGACAGGATAACCTGAAACCCACTGAGACGTGTGTCACAAAAAAATTGTTTTAATTTAAATAGCTCTTCCTATGCATCTGCTTTAGGAGGAGCCACAATTAAATTCTCTTGAAATATGTACTTCCTCTGGATTTCAGGAGAGAATCTTTTACATGCGCTTAAGTACACCATTAAACTTAGTACACCATGGAAGGCTCTCTCAACCCAGGCCTCAAGAACAAGGGCAGCACAGAAGAGCCCCAACTGGCTATTTTCAGTGAAGGTGGTAGAACAATGAGACGCACCGATGTGGCAAGAAGAGATGCGACACAGGTACCCAAGAACTGCTCAAGGGCATCCCCGGTCTCAAATCCCCCTGGCCTTGCAGCTGGACTACTCCTCACCCATCAAATCCCAAGAAAGATTAGGAAGGCCAGCCCTTCTTTTGTCTAGCCATGAAGAAGAGTGACACTCAGAGACCTTCCCGAACCTTCTTTCTCCCTTGTCTCAGTTTTATGACTGATGCAGGACAAACAGATGTGGAAAACAGAAAGTCACCAAAAAACATGTTATCACTAAGCAAAATCCAGATATTAGAAGACATTAAAAAGGGCATGTTATTTGTATAAAGTTGATTAAGTGGTCAATATGCCCCAGAAGGAAAATCATGGGTCAGATGATGTTCCAAAATGATTAGTGAATTGAAATGAAAAATCCTGAGACCCCAATTTCAGGTCTCCCTTAAAACTACGGAATAGTATCAGAGACTAAGCCACCACTTACGTAATAAGAATTCCCCGTAAGGGGAATACCCATCATTCTACTTCAGATTTAAAATCATTCATTCCACTTCAGAAATTCTTCAGATTTTACTTTACACTACTCCTTCTAACGATCAGCTCTAAGGTTCCAACGAGGTAGGTGATTCTCTCCCTTCAGCTGTTCCCAGGAGATTTACAGGCACGATGCAGCCAGGCGAGGGGAGGCTGGTGCCCGTCACCCCTCACTCTTCCCTGAGGTGCCCCTCCCCCTCTACCTAAGGCTCTAAACCATGGGGCAATATTCTACTGGGGCCCAAACTGAGAAGACCCTTTGAGGGTTGGTAATTGAGGAGATTAAGGTGCTGAAAGAGGACAGGTTAAGGAATCAGCTTTTGGGCCACTGGTAGAAGCAAGAGGTGGTTCCTTTGCTTATATTAACGAGAAGCCCATCACGGCTTATGTCCAGGACCTCAATGTTTTTTCCTTCAGATTCCTCTCATTGAGCAAAATCATATGCAGTAAGAGTTGTAGGATAATGCATCCATTTGGTTTTCAAAGCACACTCTGGAGGGGTGTCTAACCCAATCTATGAAAAACAATTGCTTTGTTTAAAAAAAAAATCTTTGATCTTTCAAGAAGGACTCCTAGCACTAGCCCATTGGGGAATGGTGGTTCTGGTGGTTCAGAAGAGGCACAAGGGCCCACATTTAAAGTTCAATCACCTATTTTGTAATCAGGGTCTCCTGTCATCTCCTTTACCTTATCCTCTTAAGGAAACTCCTTTAAATGGATGCATCTCTCCAAAGACTGGGGAGCTAAAGTGGATTCTTTACAGAAAGAAGAGTTGCTCACTGTGACACTCTGAGCCCTACCCCACGCCTGCAGCTGCTTTGTACTGAGCTTTAAAAGGGACCTCAGATCTCTGTAGGCAGGAAGGAGGTCCTGCTGATTGTCACCAAATCATTGCTGATTATCACAGGAAGAAAAAATTAAGCATTCCCCATTGCACTCAGGGTCACCACTTAAATCTCAGTCTATCTAAAGCAATATATTAGGCAATTACTCATGTTTCTTCAGCAGTATTAGCTTAGTAAATAAGAGTATTTTCTTTGTTAACACATGCCAAATACACATTTCAAAATGTGTAAAATTTCAGTCAAAACTTGTTGAATGCAATGAATGATTTATTAAAACATTAACAACTGAAGCTGTATTTTTCTTTAAAACCAGCAGGCAATTTGTTAACAATGTCTGTTTTAATACGCCAATGTGTTTTATGCATGGTGTTCATTTTGGTTTCTGTTCATTCTTTCATCCACTTGCCAAATAAGAAACCATTATTATATTATCTTCAAAAGGTAATAAAAGTGCTCACAGTAGACACATACTGCAAGAGCAGATAAGGGTCAAATTAATTATCATTCTTGATAGATATTATTATTTATAAGTACCCACCTCCAAGCAATGGAGTTAATAAACTAATCTTATAAATAAGTGTTGTAAAAATGTTTGCAGGCAGAACATTTCAGTGTAAAGATTTATGGCAGGACACACAACTTCCATGTAAATACATACTAAATTTATTAGCCTCAGTTTATTTTTTCTGAAGGCACACAATTTAACCTCATTTAATAAGAGTTAGCTGGCACAGTATAGTTAGGAAAACAAATGCTCTTGTTCAATGTAATATTTTAAATGGAGCATTAGTACCATACCTGCTTTTCATCACAGTTTTGAGTTTACCTGTTTTTTTTCATCCTTTGTGCCATCTGCAGTAGTAATCTTCTCCTTTGTTACTAACATAAGTTTATATTAGGTGTATGACCCAAAAATGGCTCTGAGTCCAAGCATTTAGGGTAGGAAACTGATAATCCCTCAACACAACTGCAACACTGAACACTGAAGTCTTACTAGGCCTTTTGTATGCGCTCCAGGAAGACAACAAGCCTCTTAATTTCCCAAAAAGAAACCCTACCTGCTAACCTACAGATGCTTCAAATTACCCGGGACCAAGACAAAAACCAGACAAGTGCTTACAAACCAGGCAGATAAAACACAACGCTTCACTTTACCTGCATTGTTTCGATCTCAAAACAGCTATCAGCCCTCTCCTAAAATACACCCTCTGGAGTAGTTTCTGCTGCCTCCTCCAGTCTTAAGAGCTACTACACGTTCACTTCTAACCTGAGGGCCTTCCTTCAGGGCAGCCTGGCCCGTTTCAAGAATGAGGAAATCACCTGAAGTTGCTTTAAATCTTGGTTTCTTTCTGTGTTTCTTTCTTTCATTCAGTAGCCTCTAAATGAACCAGTCACCATCCATATTCAGAAGAAAAGAACATTGTTCACCAACAAAGGAAAAAGAATTTAAGTCGTGTAAAGTCCTCTTTCGATACAAAAGGTCAGGAGCTCCAGAGAGCAGTTCCAGGGGCTTTAATGAAGACTTCAGTGTCAGAAACAAAGGGCCGACTGCGTTAGGCTAGGATCCAATTGTATTTCTTTTACTAGTAACAGCATACCCATCTCTTCCCTCTGCGTTTTGTTCTCAAAAAGAAAAATTAAAAGACAAAACCAGGTTCTAAAGAAGACGTTTTAAAGAGGCATCTCTGATAACCTTCTGCAGCCTACTGAAAATAACCCAGGGAAATACCAAAAGAGCGAACTCTTTAAGAAATACCAAGTTTTTGCTTTGATTTTTATATCTACTAAATATAAAAAATGAATCTGTTTAATCATGATAAAGATGACAGCTGCTGATCTGCGCCAACCCTTGGGGTGCAATCATAAATGTTGAATTTGCATGGAGTCACTTTTCAAATGAAAACATTTTCTTCGTGCCAATAGGACAGTAGCCTTAGATGTAGACTCCATCCAAAGAAGTTTTGAAATCCGTTCTTCCAGATCCTTTCAGATAAGCAAGCTACTCCCTGACGGGAATCTCACCTTAGTGTTCTCTCTGGGGAACACACTTAACTGTTTCAGGTACTGAGCACAAAAGGAGGCCCTTGTTTCGGCTACCTGTTCTGTGTACAGAGATTACTTAGGAAGCACTTTCATTTTTGGCTTATTCCTGAAATTCTGAATGCAAACTGAGGAATACATTTTTAAAGAATAGAGTGTATATTTTTGCAAGTCCCCCAGGACTGACCCCTGACTGTGTATGCCACCACGACCTAGCCTCCGTTCCTATACAGGCCCTTGCTTCTGTCACCTGCCCCCCCAGGTCTCATCTGCTCATGGCGGGGTCAAGAACGACGGGTCAAGAGTGACAGGGATGAGCCTGGAAGAGAAAGGCCATCGGGGACGCTCCCTAACTGCACCCAGGTTCACAGTGAACAGGGAGCCAGGGATCAATGTGGGCCTGGCTCTCTAGACCAGAAACAAAACAGTCCTCTCCTTTACAGAGTCTGCCCTGGACATCCTGGGCTTCCTAAATCAGGGTGTTGAGACACAAGCAACTCTGCTTCCTATTCATTTTGGAGGAAGAGGGAAGAGGGGTGTAATTTTCTTCCCTATCGGTAAGTGACTTGCAGCGACCAGGCCCAAAGACCTCCGCTTCTGCGGCCAGTCAGACACTGTAAGGAGAAAAGGCTCTTGGCTCTAACCAGGTAACATTCGGAGTGTCTTCTGACACTTGACAGCCCATGTCACATAACTGAATAAACCTGTTTCCAAGTCGGTTTTCTTTAGTGCCCAGTGTGCCTTGAGTTTTTCGGCAAACTTCGTGAACAGTTCATTTTTTCAAAACCACCAAACTGTCCAGATGAGGGAAACAGCCTCAAGAGAAATTCTTCCAACTTTGCTCTCTATTTGGTCTCTTCTGTTTTAGTTTTTTGGGAATTCTTTTTGAGTGGACTAGTAGGAAAAAATGGTAAAATATCTGATGCAATCATTCAGTTTGACAAACATTTCTTGAGAAAATACAATACGTATTCGAAGGCAGACAGTTCTGAGTTCTGATTGCACAGCTTCTTGGCGGTTAATTCAGGGTACATTATTAATCTTCCCTAGCCTGGTTTCTTCCTGGAAAATGGGGCTAATGTTGCCGGGTGCTGTGTGAATCCGAGACTCCCTGCATGGTGGGAACATGTACCAGGAGCCCAGCCAAAAGGGGACAGTGAAAGTGGTTCTCAAACTGCAGGTGCCACCAAGAGATTATGAAATCAATTCTGTGCCTCATGACCATCTTTTGCCTTTTTTAGGAATTAGCTAGAATGGACATAACAGAAAACAAGAGTGCAGTGCACTATGAGTAATGCCGTTTTGTGAAGTATTTGTGTGTGTGCGGGTGTGTGCACCATGTGCACACGGACTCATGAAGGACACACAGCTGTTCTGTGCAGTGCACAGCGCTGTGTGCAGGTCCCCAGCAGGGCGGGCAGTGCTCCGGATCTAGAACTCAGCATCGCCCTAAATTAAACATGACTCGCTCTGCCACACACTTGTTAAATGGGGTAAGCTCACGGTGCCTCGGTTCTGAATTGTCAGCTAAGTATAACAATATAACTGTGAGGATGAAATGAGAGACAGTAGGGGAAGGGGCCAAAATGGGTTAAGGATTCCACAAATGTTAGAAATTGTTAATACTTGGGTCACTTGCCAGGAACTGCAACAAGGAGAGCGACAGAAATGAGACACAGTGTCAGAGGGGGAGAAGAGAGCCAGGGATGTGAGGAGGGTTGAGAAACGCTGCTAGGGGCCTTCGTGGGGACTGCAAAGTAGCAGTAGGGTGCAGAGAGGTGGCGGGGAGAGAGCCCAGGTGGGAAGGGAACCAGACACAAAAGGAAACAAATGAGATAGTCTCTTTTCTTCTCCGCAGGGAAAACACTGGACAGAATTTTTTTATACTTTTCGCTGGAAGTCCTATTAGTTTCACTTTCTTGTTTGCTTCACTCTTTAAATTTTTATAAACAATTCAGTTTATGTTAAAAGCAATAAATGTAAGGACAATTGCCAAGGACCACAAAAATATAAATAGAAATTAAAGAGCAAAGTCTTTTCAGGATGTTACTATTTTTATTTAAGTAGCAATAATAGCCAAAAGGCCAGGGCCCTGATCCCTAATAATAGTAGTTACCATTTACTGAGCATTCCCCAGAACCAGGCATTGGGCCACAAATATTTTCTCATCCAGTTAAATCTTCACAACAAATCTGCGAGGCAGGAATTACTAGACCTGGTTTAACGACAAGGAGACCGAAGCTTGGAGGCTGAGTGACTTCATCAAGGTCACACACTCACAGGAAGCAGAGCTGGAATAAAAACGTGGGTCATGTAGATGCTCACGGTCTTCAAGACTCTATCCTGGGTTGCCTCCTGAATGATTTCCTGGGACCCTTGGCAGATTGCATGATCTTTCCAGACTCTTTAATCAACTAACATTGTGCCTTGGAGACAGAGGCATACAAAGTGCAAAAGTAACGTTTCTGTGTTTACAATGGTTGGTGATCATTATCTACATGGATACAAAGCTTAGCACTGTTTTGTAAGCACTGTCTCTGGAGTATGTACATAGAGCATGCTCAAAAGTAGGGTGGGAACTCATGGAACAGAACCAAAACCTGGTGATGTCAAGGTATATTTAGTCTTTGCTCAGATGTGCTTCCAAAACATTGCTGGCAGAGCCAAGAATCATCTAATGTTATTTCTTTATTTATATAGTTCTTTTATGTACACACGCATACAACCATTTCTTATTAAGAAGCATGAAAAGTAATGCAGGACACATTTCTAGATCCTTTTATCCGAAAGCACTTTAAGGACATGCCCATTATTTCTGCTAACTAATCTCATTTGGCCCATTTCAGAGATGGGTATAACCAAAATATAAAACTAGGGAATTTAAACTTACTTTCCATTGCAGTCACTAAGTCATGAACTTAACAGCCAGAGGGAATCTTTAAATACACGGATTATATGTGCTGCAAATCTCTTCCCACTTTTCCTGACAGGGATATGTTCTTCTTTTTTTTTAATTTTTAAATGGGCAAAATAGATGAAGGGGATCACAAGGCGACAGATGGTCGCTAGACTTTTTGTAGTGACAGTCTTGTAATGTATATAAATATAGAATCACTTTGTTATACACCTGAAACTAATAGTTTGTCAATTATTCTTCAATTAAAAAGCAGAAATAAAAACAGAAGCATAGGGATAGGTGAGCTATTAAAATTTTTTTTAATTATGGCAAAATACACATAATATAAAAATTACCACCATAACCAATTCTAAGTGTAGAGTTCGGCGCTATTAAATACATTCACATTGTTGCGCAGCCATCACCACCATCTACCCACGGAATTCTTTTCATCTTGCAAAGCTGAAACTATGTACCCATTAAACTACTCCCTTGTCCCTACCTCCCTCCAGCCCCTGGCGACCACCATTCTACTTCCAGTCTCCATGAAATCAACTTCTCTAGGTACCTCACATAGGTGGAATCATATAGTATTTTTTCTTTTGTGACTGGCTTAGTTCACCGAACATAATGTCCTCAAGGTTCATTCATGTTGTGGAACGTGTCAGAATTTCCTTCCGTTTAAAGGCTGCAAAATAGTCCACTGTATAAACATACCACACTATGTCACGCTTTTATCCACCTACGGACATCTGGGTTGCTTCCACATTGCGACCACTGTGAATAGCGCTGCTATGAACATGGGTGTACAAATATCTCTTTGAATCCCTACTTTCAATTCTTCAGGGTATATACCCAGAAGTGGAACTTCTGGATCATATGATGTTCCTAATTTTAATTTTTCCAAGAACCTCCATCCTGGTTTCCACAGTGGCTATACCATTTAAGTTCCCATAAGCAATGTGCAAGGGTCCAATTTCTTCACATCCTTACCAACACTTGGTATTTTCTGTTTTAGTGACTGTAGTAACCTAGGGGGTCTGAGGTGGCATCTTGTAGCAGCTCTGAAAGGGATGTCTTAATTTCTAAGTTACTCCAACTATTTTTGAGGTCAGTGGTAAGTAGCAATGGCTCTACTAAGCCATAAAAGTCCATCTTCTCCTTCCCTCTGGGTACCATGTTCTATGTGCTTCCTAATAAATTGGCACTTAAGAGCTCTTTACACATTTACTTGGCTGCTTCTGTTTCATCTCCTTTCTATGTATCTCACCTCAGAGTGCATGGGTGTTCTTCTCAGCTTTCCCTGATAGCCCCATAATTACAGAGCATAGGGGAAAACTCAAATTAAAAAAAACAAAATCAGCCACATCTGGAACTGAATATGTATAAAAGCCAAATAGAGCAGGATGGAAGACATGAGGCCTCATGCCTGCAGGCCTCAGGTCAGTGGACGCAGGGCCTACATTGCCCCTGGCTATATACCTAAAAGCAATAATTGCTCAATAAATATTTTCTGAATTTTTAAGTTGAATGGATAAACCACAAAGAATGACAGGAGTTTCTACTGTGCATATAATCCAATCTCCAGAACATTTCCTGAAAGTTATGCTTCTGTTAATCAGCAGAATAAAAGAAGAGAGAATCAGAGCTCAGGAAGAGGTGGTCTGCTGACATCCACGATCACAGCAGTAACCGTGTACTGGGTCTGCGTGGGATTCTTCCCACGTGCTGGCCTAGTCCCGAGTGGCTCTAGGAGTTGGTACCATTAGCTGTCTTATAAAGCAGAGAAAACTGAAATGCAGAGAAATGGAATTCCTGTCCTGGTCCTGCCCCACCGTCCTGTACTACCTACTCCCTCCCTGGAGAAACTCTTTTACTAATAGCTAGATTCTGAAAGTTTCCCCTAGACATTTATACACTCTGTAACTCTTGAAGCCACCCCCACCCCACATTTCACAGAAGTCCCTCCATGGAGACAATCACCTTGGAAAAGGTAACCTTATTTTCTACAGCAAAATTCCATCATTAAGACACTTCAAATCCATGTTTCCCTATAGGAGCCTCCAGTGCTAAACAAACCATTTCTCATTTTGTTTGCAGAATTACATAATTATGTCACACCTGAGAAAGTCTGAGTCCAGAATCAATCTGGTAAGGTATTAAATCACACATTCAAAACAAAACAAATGACCAAACCAAACCTGGTATATGATGAAAACACCTCCTGTTAAAATATGCTCTGCTAGGGGAAAAGGAGCAACCTGCTCATTCAATTAAAAAAATTAGACCCAAAGCAACTAAGCCCTTATAAACACAACACTTGAGAACACTCTGACTTGCATACCTGAGGTATGATTGACATTTTCTTCCTTAAATCGTGAAGTCCAATTTCAGTTGTCAAGATCTTATCAATCCAGATTTTGCCTTTGGGTTCTGACAATCTGAAAAGGGCCGAGATGAGGGAACTTTTTCCAGCTCCCGTTCTTCCCACAATGCCAACCTGTGGAGAGACACAGGACGGATGAAGTAACAATAGGCAGCGAACCTAGGAGACACTGGCTGTTGAGGTGAATTAAGAAGTTCTATATCGAACACAGCCTATAAGAGTTCTCAACTTTGGCACTGCTGAAATTTTGGGCCAGAATAACTCTTTGCTGTTGGGGACAGTCCTGTGTACTATAGGAGGTTTGCCAGCGTCTCTGGGCTGTACCTATCAGATACCAGTAGCACCCCCTAAATGGTGAAAACCAAAAATGTCAGACATTGACAAATGTCCCTTGGGGAGACATTTTCACCTGGTTGAGATCCACTGGTTGTAAGAAGAGTTAAAAATACCACAGTCTACCTGCAGTGAAAAGCTAGGAGTCTCACACGTGGTCAGTAAGATGTCAGCTTTTAAACTAGCTTCATTCCTAGTATTTGGGTATTTTGGACCTTGAGAATTTCTTACATGATTTTATGGAGATGTCAAGTCAGAAGTGTTATACATAAACAAGTATTCATTTTCCCAGAGTTCTATCTTTTTAGAGGAATTACTCTTTGGCAGAGAAACTAAATCATTTCCGGTTATTAAATATCTGGTTATGTTCTGTCTTGAAAGGAAACATCTTAAAATTTTGAAATGCAGGTCTCAGTGTCTTCAAAGACAGTAGCCAGTAGCCAAAATACACATAATGAGATCAACAACAAACACAAATAACATTTGCTATTTATATGGGGCCTTTCATCTGAGTAATTCAAAAGGCATTTTACTAACCATTAATACTTAGACAATTGCCCCTTGGGGAAGATATGTGTCAAGTATCAGTCTAGTTATTAAAACCAAAGCAGGGAGAAATTAAATGCATGGACAATAAGATCAAAGAATCAATATAATGCAGGCAAACGCAGGTTAGGAAAGAAACTATATTGTAAAAACTGGCTGCTAGATGTGAATATTTAAACCTTATGCAGACACTGGTCTTTTTAACTAATGAGCTTACCCAACTATAAATTCTGGGTGGGAGCTCCCCAAGAGATAATATCATCTCTATTTAAGTATCTGGAATCAATGGAGGGCATAATACATGCTTTCAATAACTTGTAAATTAATTCAGTAAATTTTAAAAACTCACAGCTTTGAACAGAGTATTACACCTTTCTGAGCACTGGTGCTATGCCGGGAACTTTACATACCTCATTTGAATACCTCCAAAGTGTTAAAGCTTAATCTGCAAAACCCACAATGGCATTTCAAAAAAGAACTTATCTTTACAGAGCTTAAATCTAAGAAAAGTGGCCTTGGCTAACTTTATCTTTGCAGCCATTATGGCACCTTGTGGTAAGCCCTGATTTATATTTCACAGAAGGGCCCTTTTCTGCATATGGGTAGGTCCTGGTACAGACAGACATGGCTCACGTGTGCTTCTGGGTGTTCTCACATGTAAATCAACACACATCAAAGACACAGGCAAGAATGTGTCTCTGAAATGTGTGACTGCCTCTGTGCTCTTAGCTCTCCTGAACCAGGAAGTCTGCAGACTTCTGGTAAAGGGCCGAGATATGATGGGGGCACCGAGGGCCGCGCACACCACAGGACTGTGAGCTCCAAACTCAGGTCAGGATGAAAAGAAAAAGGCAACTCCAAGAAAAGCTGGCTCTAGGGTTCTCTCTGCTGTTCAGTCATTGGAACTATAGCCTGAGCCTTGCACATCTCACCAATGGGTTGTTTTTGTTTTTTTTTTAAACCAATTGCCCACAGAGAATATCACCAGTATCAGTAAGTTTACATTCGTAACACCAAACAGACACTTTGAGAGACTCTTGTTTTAACTGCTTTGCAACTGCCCCCCTCTTCCCTTTCTGTTTTCCCAGCTAGGCCAAGGCTGGTCTCAAACGACCACATCCGCAATTAGACACTTGCGCCTGGATTCTCCACCTGAATCAAACATGACTGACACCCAATGCCCCACTCAAAACAACAGCTGCTTCTGACTTCCCCGTGTGAGCCTCATAACTTCTTTCCCAGGCTTACAAGCTCAAAACATCCCCTCTCCTTGCAGCTTTCTCCAATTCCAGCATGGAACCAGGCCCTGAAGATTCCACTTCTGCAATGTTTTAAGACTCAATCCCTCACCTCAGTACAAGGATGCAGCACCTTTCAAAAAACAAAATCATCAAACTCACCCTTTTCTTAATCATCATCAATGCAAATGAACATGAGTAAAAAGTAAATAAATATTAACCATAACCCCAGCACTCTGAAAAAGCCATTCTTATTGACGTGTTTTCTTTCTGGACTTGTGTGTAGTAGGTGTGTATTCTTAAAGACACGATATATTTAAGCAAAGTGGGACTAATAGGAACATATTGCTGTGGTCTGTTTGCGCTTACTTTTTCATGAAAATATTTTAATGGCCATGTAATATTACAGTATATGTGATCATTTATTTAACGAATGCCCTATTTGTGGACATTCAGGCTGTCTCCAATATTTTAGTAATATAAATAACTGTGTTAAATATCCTTGAAGCTCAATCTTTGCAAACAACCTTAATTATTTTCTTAAAACCTTAGATGTGGAATCGCTGAGAAACAGGTATGAACATTTTCAAAGGAGGCTGTTAAGTACTGCCAAACTACCCTCCAGAAACATGATACCAATTTCAACTCCCACCTGTTTCCCTAGACATTCCCAAATCTGGGTACTATAACTTGTTTTAATCATCTGTTGGATTCCAAAAAGCGGAATCACTTTCCCCGTTACATCTTGCTAGGAGTACAGAGTGGCTACTGGCTTCCTGCCTCCTGCATCTTTCTGCTACAGCCCAGGTGCACTCACCCCTCAGCTTAAGCTTCTGAAGGACAGCTCTGGGCCTGGCACACTGCCCCCGGAAGTCTCTTCTACAAGACACTTCTCTTCTGTCCCAACTAACCTCTCCATCCTTAATCTCCACGGGTCAGTTCCTAGGAATTACTAGGCGGCTTAAATGTGAAAAGTTCAGGTTCATTTCCCCAAATGCTCTGCAGGTGCCTGATTCTCCATTTGTTGATTCAAGGTGTCATGCCTTGCCTTATGCTTGCCCCACCCAGAGAGCTGGCAGGGCAGGTGAGACAATCTGGGAGTGAGGGAGGGGTTTCTAAGAAACTATTTTATAAAAAGGAAAATGTAAGAAACTAATATTTTTGCCCATTACAGCAAGGTCTAGTACACATCTGTAAAAATGTATTATCCAAGTAATAGCTCTGAGAAAAAAAAAAAATAACAAACCAAAACCAATCTACCTCTAGAGCTGGAAAATGCTTTAAAATGGCTCAGTACTCTCTAAAATGATCAAATCAACCACAAAATCATCTAAATGAAAAACGCAGTCAGTGTTTAGAATCTCACTAGGAAGCAGAGGGTGCTATTTACCTCATTATGGTTCTTTATTTTTACTTGCTATTTCTTCCATGAATTAGAAACCTGCTTAATACCTATTATATTTTCCTGTTTACTACAAATTCCAGGGATCTGGACAGCAGAGGAAATAGCTGAGAGAGAATGAAGCGCCATTTCTGCCACGTTGGCACCTTCTCACATCCCCGGCTCTCTCAATGAAGTGCCACACCAAAGGGGTGTCGTGGAGTAATGGGGGCTGGGAGAGGTATCAGGGAGATGAAGCCTGGGCTCTGCACAGGCAGAGTGAAATCATTTTACTACCACACTGCCTGGATACGCTCTCTAGTCACATGAACAGAGCTAAAGGTGATGCTGTGAGTGACCAAGGCTCAAATCAAAAGCCAAGGCATTGTAGTTATTACAATTCAGCCTCCACATTCAATTTTCCCACAAACATTTTAGAATCTAAGATAATCCCATGATTTGGGGGTTTGAAGATTGAAAAATATGCAACTGTTAGGTTTCTAAGTTGCACTACAGACTTTTTTAGATAATTCATATTTTATGGCTTCAAGGGAAATTTAAGACACATGCAAGTTAACAGAACTATGTTTAGAATGTGAAATCTGATGGACACATTGTGAGTAAACAAACACGCCCTCCAGTGCCCGTGGGACAGAATTTCATCAAGGGCTGCACAGTCAACGCCTGCCTGCCACGGCAGCGCTCACTGTCTTCCCAGTTCACAGTGAAACTGCATCTCCTGAGGAGCCAGCTTTTGCTGCGTGGCTTTCTAAAGTGGCTCTCTGGGCATTTGGCACTAAACTGAACACTTACTCTTTCATGTCACAAGGGTATCCCTTATAACTTACACTACAGCCCACTTCATGGACCGATGGTGGAAAGAGAGTTTAAAAGTGCAGTTCTTAACACCTCTAGGTCATGGGATGTCTACATTTGGTCACTGGTTGTTTGGTAGTTGCGTATTACTCACTCACTCTCCCCAGCCAGCAGATCCGCAAACACCCACCGTGGGCTCTGCAGAATGCCATTTTCCGAGGAGCAAAGATGAAAATAAGATGCTCCCTGACCAGAAGCAGCCTCAAGGTACTGTGAGATGCAGATCTAAAATTAGAAAACATGCTTCAAGGGCCACCTTTTATCTTAGAATTATGATAAAATACACGTTACATTCTATTGTGGTAACATAAAAAGGCCAAGGGCCAAGGTGGGCTGCACCCGAAGGCCACCATGAGGAGGAGGAGGATTTGAGAAATACCGAGAGGTAAGGATCACAGGAACTAGACATCAGGGGGTTAGTGACAAGGAACCAGGTTTATTTCTGAGTCTTAGAGTGTGCCAGGTCAGGCTAAGCTCCAGCCCGGGGGCCCAGGCCCACTAACCACCAGAAGGCAGCTCCTGACACAAGGAGAAAGATGCTGGTACCCCCATTCCATGGTCAGTCTCCAGGGCAGATTTACCTCTAATATAATTTGATCTAATCTGCATCCACAGGGGAACAGAGAGGCCCCCTAATTCATTCATGAGGAAGCCAGCACACAGGTGCAGTGTTAAACTGTAGTTGAAACTAACTTAAAGGGGCACAATGGTTTAAACAAACCTTTTCTCTTGATTTAATGAGTGCAGTCAGATGCTTCAGTACCAGAGGCCCATCTAAACTATATGCGAAGTTAACGTTATCAAAGACGATCACTCCTTCGTGGGGCCAGGCGGGCGGCGGGCGTTTCTCGTACTCCCAAGCAGCTTCTTTCTCCAGCTCTGTATATTCACTGACCCTTTCTACTGAAATCATCTGCAAGACACGGGAAATCACAGTGGTCAGGATGGGAGGGTCTCATTTATGGATGGTAAGGAATTCTAAATGAAGTGTCCGTCTTTCACACTAACTGGTTAAAGCTCTCTCGGGTCTTAACATCCCCAAAGGACAGAAGGAGTTGGGTGATTTACAGACTTGTTCATGCTCTTCTAACACTTTCACTGATGGCTACACTTCCTTCAACACTTAAAGAATGAGGGAAATGAATGCTAAGATTCTACTTATCTACTTTTCTGCTGAATAAAAAAGCAAGAGGATTTTGTCAAAGAAAAGAATACTGTGGCCAACAATCAATAACCTTTTGCTACCAAAGAGCCTCTGTTACAGATGAGCTGATCTGGGTAGTCATTAAATCTCATTTTAACAATTAGTTACTTTCTTCTTTATTAGAAGAGCAAAATGGAAAGATTTGATTCTCATTGTTTTTCTCTCTTTAGGAGTAGGTGCAAATATTCATAAAAGGAGATAATTTTCATATTGACTAAGGCTTTCAAGCCCCCATATCTCCTTTGACAAGCACTTTCCAAAAGGAGAACTTATCTCACCAGAGAGAAGAGACACTGGCAAATTCAGGTGTTTAACATATACGAGAATAAATGCGAAAATGATGTAGCAGGAGGAGGAGATATCTGTTAAACAAACAACCCCAAAATGCTGGATTCTCCTTTTACTAGGAATGAGGAATTACCAACAAAAATAAACAGGCCTCTAAGAAATTAGCTTATATCCTCCCCAGGATTTCAGAACCCACCTCCTACAGAGACATTTATTACATTTGAAGACAGCTTGTGATGAATATAAAACCTGCTGACATAGCATACACATGACAGAGAAAAAGATGTATATATTTTATTTTACATTAACTTTAAACAGATGGAGGAAGGAAGGATCTAAAAAACTCTGTTAGCTACAATGTAAAAATAACAGTTTTAATATTTTACATAAGAAGTGCTTTTATGCTATTTAATGGCAAGAAGACTTGAAAAGGCTAAACATGTTAAGATAAACGTTACCATATTCTCAACTTCGGTACTTTGCCTGACGCACCACTGGAACATCCCCATGAGTGTGAGGGCATAGGACAGGGCCAGGCCAACCTGCCCAGCATCCACAGCTAAACGAGGAGGGAAAAGGTGAATAGAGTCAGTTCCCTTCTTACCAACAAGCCTGCCCAGCTCCTTCTGTCACTTTTTGCAAGAAGATTCCTTTATAATATTTAAATACTTTGCATATGATAGCGATAGTTTTACTTTCATGATATTGATTTAGACCATTAACATGATGAAAAGTGAATATAATAAATTCAGAAAGACTACTAAATGAGTTTGTTAATCACAACAGGATCGACATACACTGGACAGTGTCATAAAGGTGAAGAATAAGGTCATTATTTAGACTCTCATCCGTATGGTTTCAAGGACCATTATGTAATTTCACTTTCTTCATCCAATGCAACCGCAATTGGAAACCACTAAAAACAAGGCAATGGATTCTTAAGAGCCGGTGCTTTTAAATCTAAACTACTACTCTCAGTGTTCAATTATTATATTGTAATTCAATGTTTTTTGCTATGGAACTGATAGGGATGGCGAATTCACACCACGCATGCCAACATCATGTGGTGCCCGTGTGGCAGTGAGGATCATATTCTTTCCTGCTGAGACTCTTTTTCAACCAAGTGCTCCAGACACATACAACCATGAGAACTGAGTAGCCCTCAAGAGAAAAACAAAGGTCTAAGCTGGACAAAATTCTTACTAGTAGACTTGATTCTCTCCTCACAGGTGCCAGACACTCAGGAAGTTAGCTGCCATATTTGCATAAGCCTGAAACCATTCAGCAAAAGATAACAGGAACTTATCAAGACCCAAAATGACTCCTCTACATGGGCCACCCTGCAGAATCACACCCATATGACACACTGACATACTACAATTCATCAGAACCAAACAATATATGATATTAGACAAGGTGGCAAGGGTTTAATCTAATAACTGTGCAGGCAGCTATAAACTGTGATCATACCACACATAGTTATTCACATCTGTACTTACTTTTTGCCAGAATCAGGGACCCAAAGGCAACAACGATGACGAAGATGGCGCAGATGGCATCCAGACGCACGGCGAACCACCGGGACGTAGTCAAAAACAAGAACCAAGCCTCTGTATTTGTGAACCATAATAAACATAAGGAATAAGTAGAAAAATCAAGTTAACTGCTTCGAACAAGGGACAGCATTTTGCTCAGCTGAGCTACAGAAGATTTTTTACACAACGTGGACAGCAGTTGTACACCAAGGAAACTGAAGATTCCAGAAGCTAAGTTTTGACAGAGGACAATGCATGGTACACAGAGAGATCAGTACAGTGGCTTCGTGGGAAGCATGCTTTGAAAAATTCAACCCTGAGGGCATAAATAGAAATATGATCCTAATAAAGAACATGGAAAAATGGTTCCACCAGTGCATTTGTACACTGTTGGGCCTCAACGGGAAACTCATCCCCTCATACAGTTGACTGTTCCCAGTTCTCCCACTTCGTTTCCAGCACTTTCCATATTACTACAGGGCCCTGCATAGTGCTTATTCCTTAGAAGCCATATCTAAATGACCATCTCACTAAAAGTATCTGCACATGGCTTATAAAATGCCATTTATCTTCAAAATACAGTGAAGACTAGAAAGATGGCCCAGGATTCTATAGACTTGGAGGAAATTCTGAAATTTCTACATTAAAAAAAACTTCACTGACTGGTGGTTATCATGGGGGAGGCGGGGGGGGAGGTGAGATAAAGGGGCACAAAGATTCTCAATCATAACATAGGTTGGCTCTGGGGATGGTAGCACAACATATATCCAACAATTCTGTGACATCTGATGGTGACAGATAGCAACTGCACTTGTTAGGTGAGGATTTAATAATGTAACTGTTGAATCACTGTATTGTATCCTTGAGACTCAATCCTTGAGTTGTATATCAACTGTATTTCATTAAAAAAAAAAACTTCACTGATACAAAGAATAATATTTATCAAGTAGGTGGCAAATCTGATAATGAGGAAACTGATTTCCTGCCACCCTACATGGTCTGAAAAAAAAGAGTCAGTAAACTACAGGCTGCAGGCCTAGAATGGCCCACCACCGGTTTTTATACATAAAGTTTTATTGGCACACAGCCACAGCCACTTGCTGATGTATTATCTTTGCCTGTTTTCGTGCTACAACAGCAAAATAGATTTGTTGCAATAGACACAGTATAGTGCACATAGCCTAAAATATTTAGTATGTGGCTCTTTATAAAAAATGTTCACTGATCCCTGCCCTGAAGGGCACAGGGACAGGACAATGAAAGTCAGTCAAGGGAGAAAAGCAGTGAGATGAAAGGAAGAGAATTCAGGGGGATTCTGAGAGGAGGCACGGCCAAGCGGAAGGGGAGCGGCGCGAGCAGAGGCTGGCCCGGGGGAGACAGAGAGAGTGGCACAGGCCAGCAAGTCCCTGTGAGAGGCTGGCCAGGGCTCAGAAAGTGGCAAATCCCATCTTTTGAATCAATTTCCAGAAACTTGCAGACCTGAATGCAAATCCTGATGTGAGTCAAACAGTTCCTGGAACCTGTCTTCTGCTTTGCATGCCCGGATGGTCCAGAGTCCCTGAAGAGAAGACGACAGGTGGGAAAATACCGGGCTCCGTGCTGGGGAAGCAGACACACAGCACAAAGAGGGTCAGTGAGGGTGCAGGTGAGGGAGCCACCTGCCGCTGGTGCTCCTTGGTCCCACGTTCCACCAAACAGATGCCCCACGCTTCCCAGGGGCTGCCTGGGGGAGAAGGAATGACACCCTCTCTCTGGCCGGAAAGGCCCATCCATATCAGCCCTCAAACTTCTGGTCACACCACACTTCACTTTAATGACCCAAAAATGAAGGTTTTTCTTTGAACTTTCCTTTGACCAAATTCAAATCATAGCCAGGGTTTCTTTGCTAACTCATTCATCAAGGTCTCCTCAAACAAGGCCTCTGTCTGCATTCTTCCAGCTGGGAATTACTGTTCACTAACTTTTGAGTCAGTAGCATTTTTAAATTTAATCCTCTGTGACAGTACTCACCACATGTACATGATTAGTTATCTGTGCGTCCACCTCCAACTGAGATGAACTTCCTAAGGGTTGCGATAAAGTCAGTATCTCCCCGAAGTAGGAACAGTGCCTAGCGTAGGACTGGTGCATAGGAAGGAAGAGGAAGGGACAGTTGCCATCTCCCTGCCCCTCGTGGCACCTGCTCCTGCCCAGCTGCATTTTTGCAAGTCACAGAGAACCTGGGACGTTCACCGGCTGTGTGCCCATAAGACCTGAGCAGCCAAGGTGGCTTTGAATAGTCTTGACCTCAACTCCAGGAACCTGATGGAAGGTTTTATAACTGCTCTCCCACACACTCGCCCTGATGTCTGCAGGTCACCATGGCATGTGACACCCTTTCAGAACCTGACTGGCCTTAGTGGCCATTCTCTTTTGAGTAACCTCTTGCTGGTTTGGGGCCTAGCATCACATGACTGGCCCTTGGTTTCCTTCCATCCCCCCTAAGAACACACTGTGTATGAGCACCAGGGACTGGCCCCCACACATCGGGGAACTGGTGGGTTGCATGCTGCTGGGCAGGGGTGACCCCTTATGGATTTCATTCCCCACCATGAATGAGGAGTAATTAGTCATTGTCGGGGCAAACTGCAAGCCTGTGATCTCTGTCTGGCACAAGTAACAGTCTGTGCTGTATCAACAGGTAATACTAATTGTCACTTTGTTACCCTACCTCTCCTGGTGGTGACCTGTTAGCAACACCTGGGTGTTTAGGGGAAGGTAAGATCACTTATCTTACAGGAGGCTGCAGAGATTTTATACAAAGATGAAGAAAAGAATCAAGGGGGAAAAAACAAACTGATTTTGAGGCCTGACTCCTTAGCTTAGCATCCAAACGCTTGTGGGAGAGTTCAGTCAACAGCAACATGCACGCGGGCGCTGGGTGTGTGTGGTGGGAGGGGTGCTGGGTCACAATGCACAGACACAGAGACCCCTCTCAAGCTTAGTGTCCACAGCTCCTCGAGCAAGGAAGCAGCAGGCTTCTGCATGTGAGATGCTGGGAAGAGAGAAGCTGGAAGCCCTGGGCTGTAGACCAGCTGACTGCCCACTCAGCTCTGGGGTCTGTCCTGACTGGGGTGTCTGGGCCATTCACCATTAGGGGCCCTTGCCAGTGATAACTGCTTAAGGAAAAAAAACCACCCCCAGGCCAAGACATGACCTAACATCGTCGCTTGCATCCACTGCAGGCTGCGGTTTTGGCAACCTAGTTGTGTCTGTGTCTGATTCTCTCATCCGCATTGTCTCTCTCTTCATTATATCCTTTAACCTGTTTAGCTTCCCTTAACTTTGCACTTTTAAAGACAGCAAGGTGAACATACAGGGATTGAGTTCATGCTCCAAGGAAGAAAGGGGGGAAGTTCTGAACAGGTCTTTCCTGCACACCCCAGCAGGTGTCCCAGCTGCCCCAGAACAGTCAGTCTGGAAATAGGGTGCTCGTGGGATGACTCAGGAGAATCCCAGGCTGTGTGATCCTAGCAAGAAAGAGAACTCACCAGAACCGTGCTCTCATTTCTAGAGCAAATGTTGTGACATAAACACAACTTCATCACAGACAATCCTTCTGAGAAGGAAGCAGATGTGGCTGTCTACCCAGGGAGGGTGCTGGAATGAAGCTCTGCAGCTTGGACATCCTCACCTGCTTCTCTCATTGGGAGAGCACAGCTGCAGTTGAGTCTCTCTGGCAGGGTCGACTTTAGACTGGGTATCCCAGCCTTGAATGCCGGGGAACCCAAAGACCACACCACCAACTTCATCTCATACCCAAGAGTTTCAGCAGGAATCAGAACCTGCGAGCGCTATCCTGTTTCTTCCATGTCAAGGCTCTGCTATTACGTTGCCTGATATAATGCTCTTTATACAAAGATTGAGCTGGCTATCCTGAATAGGCTTATTAACACCCCTGGCATTGGTCAGCAGCCACAGGCCAAAGTAACCCTGCATTGCACAAGATGGACAGCTGTACTTTCCACGACCCTGAAGACTCTTTGTGTCATACCCCACAAGGATGGCAAACCTTCCCTGGAAGGGGAGGGCAGGCAACTGCACACACAGCCCCTGGCTGACAGCCCTGCTGCAGGTTATCATCAGTACTGTGTGAGACCTGCTGCTTGTTCCTACATTCTTGATTCCCTCATGTTTAAGGCAGTGCCTTTCATAGTGGCCAGCGAGCACTTTATAAGCATCAGCTCAAGTAATCCCCATGAGAACCCCAGAGGGCAGGTATATCTCTGGCTATATTAAGGATTAAGAGCACTGCCCAAGATTGAGTAAATTAACCCACTGAAGTGGTAGAGCTTGGGATGAGACCCAACTCTGTCTTATTACCAAGACTGTGCTTTTAATCACAGCCATGGTGTCCCAGAGGGAGATAATCAGGGTTGAAGATGCCCACGTATGACTGAATGCATTTTTCTCCAGACTTTGCAGTTGATGGTGAGAAAACTCCAGAATCTTACTCAGCTAACATCCAATAGCCTCACCCATTACTGTAAATCTTATTAATAAGCACCTTAAGTTGAACAAAGTCCCTGGGAATCTGGCATGAGAGCACCTTAAAACAGCAGAAATGAGGATCTATGGTCTGAAAACACATGGTGCAAGTGCTGACCCTCCCTGGCAATGACCACGGCAGATATAGGTAACAGCTCCCTTATAGACAGAATGTGGATATGCCTTCATAGTCCAGGCATTGCCACACAAAGAGCTGGCTAGAGAAATGCAACCAAATGCCATCCTGGTTTTAGGCACTTCTCTGCGATGGGCTGTTGCTAGGCTCACTTCAGCAAAAATAAAAAAACCATTAAGATCCTCTGCAGATTCGTCATTAAGATGGCTTTAATGTCAGCCTAAGGTTCGCAGCTAGGCAGTACAATCAGAAGATAATCCTCAGGACTTTAGTAGCCTTTCTAAGAAAGGATGAAGTGGCTTTACACCTTCTAGCCAGACCAACCAGGCATCCCCTTTTTAGCTGGTGGTTCCAGCAGTGGCCTCAATAAATACCACCAATTACTGCTTAGAGACGATGGTGGAATTGTTACTTAGGGTACAGACCCACCATGGAGACAGGTAAGAATACAGATCTAATCACCTGCTCACCACATTTGGTTGTCTGGGAGTGTGCTGGAGGGAACATCCTTACACAACTTATGTCAAAGCCTACTGCGGCACCGTGCAACTCTCGGGGGCCGTGCCAACGTCCTTGGGACCTCCAGTCTGACTCTGAGAAAATCCTACATCGCTTCAGGAGGCCTGGGGAGGTCCCCTTGTCTCCAGTTCTACATGGATGGAAGTGGCCCTCACTCCAGGCAAAAATCTGCACCAGGAGTTGCTTCCGAAACAACCCTTCTCTGAATATACCCAAGACCTCCTCTGCAACAAATGGCCCCCCTTCATGAGTAGCCTCGAATCACAAAGTGTCAGAGGTCCCATCACCTACACAAGAGACTGCCCGGAGCTCATCACTTCTGCCTTATTCTTCGGCCTTCTCCAGGCCCTATCACTGTGCTAAGTCACGTCAGCAGGATGGCACCCGTATGTGGACTATGCTGCTCCGCCATCCCACCAGAACACCTCACAAAACCAGACCTTCTGGCAGTTTGGCTTGTTCTCTTGATGACTGAAAAAATTTTCTTTAGCTGTTGTGAAGCTCATGCTCACTATCCTGTACACAAATACTTATGGTAAATGTCTCTCAGGCATTTATTATTAAAAAAGAAACACGTGTATATCCCAACAGAAAATTTCTTTGTCCTGATGAACTTCTGTTTTCTTAGTAGATAAGGAGAACCATGGACTCCGTGTTTCTCTCCTTAGCCCCGTTTCCAGAAAGCTAAGCTGGTGTTAATTTGCAGTAACTATCTACAGTTGAGGTTTCTGATGCAAGTATCTTCTTTCCTCAGACTTGGCTATTTTCCTTGTACCTTACTGGGGTTTTATTTCTTTTTTTTTTTTTTGTAATATTACACTTCTACTGTCCTTGTGATTTTTTAATTATAATGAAACATGTGCATCAACAATGAGATAAGCTCTGAATTATTTCATCCTCTGTGACTATCTGTAGAATAGAATGATCATAAAATGTTTCCCCCATTATTCCAAAAGTAGGAAACTGAACACAGTCAGACTAAATGCACACTGAACCCATCCCTCTCCTGTGTCCTCCTAAGGAAATTACTTTCAGGATCCACTCACACGGACAGCCTAGAGGGAAAAAAACTTCCAGCGATGTGGCATTAAACCAAGTAGTGGTAAAGATCAAAACTGAAAACAACACTGCTTTCATTTTCAAAACATTTAACAATTGTCAACTTATTTGCCATTTTCTGAGTATGTGAAAGTAATATGTTTTTCAAATGTATCGCTTCTGACACATGAGTATTACTCCCTGACCTCTTTTCCTTTCCTTGTCATTCCTAATAACTTCAGGGAGAGAAGAATTCCAACCACTTTCCTTCCATATTAGTTCCAACATGACTAAATAGTTTATTCCTTTGAATATTTACTGAGTGTCTGCTCTGTGTTAGGAAGTATGTCATGCGGAAGATGAAGGGCTCGTCTTCATGGTGCTCACACTGTACCGAAGCAATATTCCACAGGTGTCCTGCACGCCTTCCTGGTGCTCACCTGCAAGCCGCACCGGGCCTTCCCTCAGCTCCAGCCTCCCTAAGAGCCACACTGACTCACAGTGGCCGTAACACTCAGGGACCTAACATTAACCTAGAAATTCTTGGAAGACAGTGTCTACACAATTTCAGGGGGCTCCTGAATTACAGCATAACTGCAAGTTAGCGTGCACTGCCATCCCAGCCTGAGAGCTTCAGTACTCACTTGTCGATTCTAGGCGTTTGACATCTCTTGACGTTTTTAAGAAGTACTGCCGAAGAACAAAGAAAAGGATGCCAAGGAGAATCAGAGGTATTACAATCCAGGGAATCACTGCCATGGCCACACCCACCACACCAATCACTTGTAGGAATGTCTGAAACAGAGAGAACAGACCAGAGGCCTCCTTACTAAGGATTCTTTTCAAAAATAGACTTAATAGGTTGTTTTACCAGGGTTAAACTCCTTTCTTCAAAAGCTGTGTTGGACTGGCACGGAATGCCTTCCCATCCAAAGAAATAACAAAATTATAGGTGGTCCTGATGAGAGTTACTGTGTTCCTACTATGTGCTAAATACTGTAAGAATGTCTAGGTATTAGCTCTCTTGACACACTCAACAGCCGTATGAGGTAGGTATTAATATTTTCCCGATTTAACAGAGGAGAAAATTTGAGAGTCGGACTTGAATCCCAGACTCTCAGCAGATACTACAAGATAAATGAGCAAGCAGGTATCACGGAGGAATCCAGAGACCCAGATAGACAGGTAAGGAGATAGAAGCAGCCAGTTACAAATGAGGTGGTCAGAAAGGAGGGGGAAAATTTAAATGTTTACCTCTGGAAGTGGGGATTTCTCTTTCTTGGTTCTCTGTCCACAGTTAACATCTACTGACTGCACAGGGTTGCCCACTAAATGCTTCACAAGTATGAACTCATTTAATCCTTATAAGAGCCCTACTGAGTAACAGTAATATCTCATTCTACAGATGGAGATAGTGAAGCACAGAGAGAGGAAAAGACTTGATTAGGACTGCAGAGCATCGGTCATGGAGCCGGGGGTATGTTTCAGCTTGCCCTCAACAGAAGGCCAACTTTTATTATTCAGGAAAATTTTTTTATTTATTTGAGAGCCTCTTTTTTTTCTCTCTCTCTCTCTAAATGCCTTATTCAAGGGATTTCAGAGTTCATCAGCATGCCCAATAAAGAACAGATAAGAGAAGAGAGATACAATGAAACACGTTGTTGGTATTTCTTAGATACCTGAGTTTCCATAAGGAAAACAACTTACAATATCTAAAAGTTTTTTTAAATCTTATCTGGATTTACATCGAAATTTCTATCATTAAGATTAAGTATTTAAATGTCTATTTCAGCGGCTAATGGTGATAATATCAGATGCCATTTGTCAGGTGTTTACCACATTCAAGGCACTGTGCTAAGAGTTTTGGGGACCTTTGTTTAATCATCACCTTGTCCCTTGGCATGATTTTATCTTGGCATATGGTCTTGGTCTAAAAAGAGCAGGTGAAATAGAAACCCAAGTCACTGGATGATGCTAATTTAAGTATCCATCTTTATCAGGAAGGCGTGATCGATTGATCACATGGTGTACCAGCTCAGGCGGCAGGAATGCAAATTAACACTTAGTGTCTGCCTGCCATAAAGGGGTGAGCGGGTGGGGGGGACAGGCGGCTTCACACGGCATGGGCCAAGGCCTCCAAGTTTCACTATCCTAGATGGATACAAGTCCACAACCATCCACAAAGGCACAGAGTACCATGGAAATGCAAGGAAGAATACGTGAATAGTTTTTAGAGGGCTCTAAGCAGGGACTTGCTGCTGAATTTCAGGCTGGCTTAACAAACACAGGCTGGCATAAGAAGTGTTCAGGTAGTGGTCAGAGATGATGGAAATGCTGCCCAAGAAGGAGCAGGGCCACCAAGGTGAGCATGCTTGCCTGCGATAGTTGTGTCCTCTCAAGACCAGCCCAGGGCCTTTCCACACCATGCCACCCAGAGCAGTGGGCCTGACTCTGAGGGAAGGTAAGCAGGGTGACCCCGGACAACACACAGGTTGCCATTGCACAGCTCTGCCACATTCATTTGCTCTGCGGATCTGCACAACCTTCATATGAATGAGAAAAGAAGGAGCTGCCATTTCCATTTATAGGTAACATGAAGCTGGGAGGTTAAGGGATTGTCCTAAACTCGGGAAGCCACTGTGTTGCGGAAAAAGCCAGAAACAGTTCATACATGGGAAACCCAAGTGCAACAGCTGCAGGCAGGAGCATGGAGGAAGGAGGAAGCTTCCAGAAACGTCCAGATCTGTGCACAAGAGCTCTGGTGAAACTACATTATCTTGATGTAGACCCATGTGTTTGTACCATTTCACTCACTCTCTACTGTGATAGCAACACAAAACCTAGAGGGAAGAGGCATGGAATTATGAAGGAACAAAGTCCAATCATAAAGGGGAGAAAATAGGACTGTCTGGTCTCTCTCCCTTACACCTACAGCTGAGCAATTTCTTACAGCTACTGGATTAACTGATGCATCCCATCCTGCCATACTAATTAGGAAGGCAAGCTTTTTCTTCCCCTCATGACCGAGGGGAGTGTCCTTCCAGCCCCTTCTGTAACTGCTCTCAGGTAAAGTCAATAGGCTTGCCATCATTTGTTGTCAGGAGGAAAAGAAAAATATGACCGAGATGTCAATTATGAAAAAAAATCAAATGTACACCTTTATTTTTAGCAGACACACCATTTGATTGGACAGTATCAACCGGTATCAATTGTTTGACTTTCTCCAGGGTAAGGGCCTTTCATGGCTGCTAGCCTGGCAGCAGAAATAAGCTCAAAACTCAGGACACTATCAGAGCTGTGCCAACTCTCTGTCCTCACTAAAGACTGCAAACTTTTGCTCTCAGAAACTTTCAGGTGAGGTCTTTCAGATTTGATGTCCCAAATTCAAAAGCAATTCAGAGGCTTTCTGTAAGTTTTATTTCTACTTGTAAGTCATACTATATGGCCAGCCTCACAGTGAATCAGATACTACACCTTATTATATATATTATAAAACATATTTTTTATATTATTGTGTATATTATAAAAACATATACACAATGTATGGGCTTACATTTATATGTATTTATGCACACATATATAGAAATCTTTTACTGCCAGCTCTCTCACACTCTTTACAGAAGTTGGCAGAGGGTAAAAATAATACCTAAGCAGAAAGATCATAACACTCTGTAGGGGAAACAGAAGGTTCCGGGGCTGAACAAACATCCCTTCCTTGGAGCCAGTCTCAATCCTTCCTTCCATGTTCCCAGGGATTCCAAGGAGTCTAATCCAAGCTCCACACACAATTCCCCCCATCTGACTGGATTCTAAGTGCATCTGACAACCCACTGCCCACGGCCAGCGCTTCTGTATCTGTCATGCCGCAGCACACAGAGACGATGGTATGTACACAGCTCAGAAACATGCTGATCCACACCCCGACACCCCAAAATCTAAGGGAATCACTATTTTGATGTACTTGTATCCCATTTCGAACACGCCAGTTGGGAATTCTACTCAAAATCTATGAAGCCACTTGAACATACACAAACAATTCTTGGCTGAAGTCTTTCACTTGAGAGCACATGTTGATTTTTTACACTTTGTATAATTCTGAGTTTGCAAAGAATGACAGACATGCCCTAACCCTGGAGGGGATGCTGCATTAGCCTAGTATTGTGCTATCTGACAGTGGTTAGGGCCAACCCTCTTGAGTGTTAACAGGGAGAGTAAGACTCTCCACCACTCATTATCTTAGGTAAAACTGGGGTATACCAACAACATAAAAGGATGGTGGTGTTATTAAAGACATAATGCATATAAAGTGCTTAGCAGTTCATGTTTAACAAACAGAAGCTCTAATTACCATCATTATCACCCCACAGGGTGCTCTGGATGCCAGGAGTCAGGGCGGAAGGAATGGTTAATTAATGGATTTAAGGACTCAAAGAATCTTAAGAATCTCATGACCCACAAACTGTAAGAATATCATGCCGTATCACAGAAGCTGGACCCTGAGAGGTAGGTCATTCAAACCACCTGAACAGCTTAGTCCTCTTCAGGGACTTATCAGACCAGGTGTTACTGTTTCCTAGATGGAACGATGTATCATGTACCAAAGAGACTGGCTTTTCTCTGGCTATACTATTCGAGGTATATTTTGTTTGAATATGCACTTCTGAGATAAGATGGCCAATGAACTCCCTGCCTGCTACATTATTTTTTATGCCAACTCTAAGCCTCCCAAAGATTGGTAACCTCAGGAAATGGGAGGCAACTCAGCATTGTTTGAGATGTTTCTTTTCTTATTTCATATCCTTTTTTGCTTCAAGTCGTACCTTTTTCTTAGTGTTAAGACTTACTGCTCTGAAATTGCTGAGCATTTCTGAGCGACTGAGGAAAAAGCTAGTGGAACCTTGAATCAACAAAGCAAACCCAATGCCCACCTGCCAGATTATTCAGTACGTCCGAAGGAGAAAATCCATTCAATGTTTTTTCTTTTATGCATCCTGAACTGGTACCATTATCACGGGAAACAAAAATCTAGACTTTGTACACTAGCGAATCTCAAGAAATTCAACTGTGTCCGTTCCAGGTTGGCAAACATTCAGGTTTGGACCATCAGGATGTCACCGACACCTGTGGGTGGGATGTCCAAGGCACACCTCTCTTCCCCAAAAAGGGTGCTATCTTATGAGCAGCTTCCACTGACAAACCACACTAGCACCTAAATGTATTATTAACAAGGCATACAAAAATAATACAGAAGAGGAAAAAAATACTTATGAAATATAATGACATTTTCACCGAAAAATTTTAGACATCAGCCATTGCTTAATTGCTAGGGCCTATGACAAATTTCCCCATTAATACAGAAGAAATTCCACAATTCCATCTAGTTGACATCTGAAGAAAGGTACAATTGCCCCACCCTCCAAATACCAATATGGATAACATTTCATAAGGCTTGCCTTGTGTCCAACCTCCTAACCACTTCACATGCACTATTTAACTCCACTCTCACATCTGAGCTGAGTAGAAGGGACTATCATCTCCACTGGCAAAGAAGGAACTGATGCTCAGGGAGGTTTAGTAATTGCCCCAAGTCAGACGTCTTACAGGCATTTTGACCCCAGCCTCTTCTTTTAATCTGTGCAAGATACTGTATTCCATACACAAATAAGATTTGGAAAAAAAAATAATCCTGAATTATATTATTTTACGTATTTTCCCTTTTGTGTGCATTTTTTAGTTTTGTTGGGTTTCCTGGGGTTGTGTCTGGTCTCTCCCATGAGAAGCCCAGCCCTAAACTC